TTCCAAGAAAGTGAGATGGCAGGACTGACATGACTTTTTGGGTAGAAAGGCAATGCTATTTAATACGCAGGTTTTTTTATACAGTATTGTGAGTCCTGCAAACAGCCTTCCTAAGTTTGTAAAGGTTTGATTATTTCTCCTTTACCAGCGAAAACAAATTTACGGAAGCTTATAAATAGTGATGGGCTGCATAAGACATGTAAAGTACTTAAAGGAACTAAAATAAGTTCATAGTGGTTATAAGGAACAATTAACTTTTCTCGATAGTTCCCGCGTTCTTGCGACGTTAAAATAGCGATAAATTAGAACAATAAATGTAAATATTTTGTCTAGTATACAGGTTAGAACAACGCGTTTATTTAGATAAAAATTTTTTGTCTTTAGTCAAAATGTTTTGTGCATATGGCAAGTAGTGGATGACTTATTATTGAATATCGTGGTGTCTTCGTTGAGAAGCTGATAAATTGCGCTTGTTTTTGATGTGTTCATCAAAACCTGTAATATTAGATATTCACCGAATATTTACCGAATATTCATGTTTGTTCTTACAAAGGTAGCCATGTCGGTTACATGTGCGAATGTTTCAAATCAGCAAACCGCATTTTCGAGCATACAATATTTCGGCTAGATACCACGGATATTGTTATTACTCAGATCAATAAAAAAACTTCCGTAATAGCTTATCTCTTTGAAAAGTGTTTTTATATTTAGTTGACGCACTTTTATGTTTATAATTGTTATTCAAGGTAATGCCACAGGAAACTTGGAGAGTATTGACAATTTCTTTAATGTACTTAAGACAAACGATTATGTTTAATTGAGATAAAAGAACACACCGTCCTCTTGATAGCGGTTTATTTTCCGCTTCATATGCCCAATGCTGCTCATCATTATTTATAAGTTTCCGTAAATTTGTTTTCGCTGGTATAGGAGAAATAATCAAACCTTTACAAACTTAGGAAGGCTGCTTGCAGGACTCACAATACTGTATAAAAAAAACCTGCGTATTAAATAGCATTGTAGGAAGTTAGGCACGTTAAATGTGTGCGAATGTCGAACTCGACAGATGAGAATGTACACTTCACTTAATTCGCTAATAAGCCCTCTGGAAAAATAAATGAAACGTGGTTAAGTTCCTTGCCATAAATCAGAGAGTTTTGACAATTATCCCATAAAATCATATTTACCACAATGGCGAATAAGTTGAATATTATATCAGCAAATCAGCCCTACGCAATTCACGCAACAGTGGGTGGGCCAACTCATGAAATCCAAATAACACTCTACTAAATTAGCTAATTAGACCTGGATAGAAATAAATTATAGGTGGTGAAGGCCCCTGTCAAAATCAGACAGTGTTGGCAGTTATCCCATAACATCATATTTTGCGCATTTGCGAGTAACTTGATTTTATTTATCAGCAACTCTTCGCGACCCAAATCACCCAACGGTAGGTGGAATGCAATTTTTAATTACAGGAAACTCCCTCCAACGCAAACCTAGCCAAAGTTGCCGCCACCAACGTTTTTGGACATTCAAGTGCTGGCCGTCCTTCATATATATATAAAGCGATAGTATAGGTTTTTTGAGGAATTCCAGCATTTCTAGCAAAAACCAAAATTTTCGGAAGAGTGAAAATTGACCGTTGTTGATATACGAAACTTCTAAATGTAGAGAAATAGAGATGTGGTTAAAAAATAATCCATCTAGCGTGCAATTTAATCTAATGTAATGATTGCTACCGAAAAACCCAGAGTTGACGTATGAGTTCCAGGGCGTTTCTACTTGAATTGCAAATAATTTTTTTCTCTTTGTAAATTGTTGAGTAATGTTGTACTAAGATAACCGATATCCGCCTGCTTTAGCCGTTTGGCAGGTCACAGAAGTAAGATATTTCGTAAGCTCGCGTGCGGACATGCCGCTTAGTGTCTAGAACAGTAAGTATACTACTACGCATTTCAGATCATTCTAGGCCTGCCCTTATCTTATCATGACCGTAATTGAAAGGTTTTTCACTGAACATCGAAGACTCTGTAGTGGAGACAATTAGCGGAACCCAGTGCGATTCTTCTAATATGCAGATACTGATTTTCCATCAGGGAATAGTCCCTTATAGGCCATGTGGAATAATATATGCCACCTGCTCTACGCTCCACATATTCAGTGCAACTGAGCAGTTGAATTTCTGTACAAGTCCTAAGGCGTCTTTTGAACTGCGTATAAGAAGTGATTTGTTCAACGGCCTAGCTTATGTCGTTTGGCACCCCACTAAACCATGGTTCAATTCCGAAGTGAAATAAGTGCACACACTTGATTATATCGCTTGTAGCTCGTTAGTATTTCTGTATGTTTACTCTTTTTGGTGCGGCTCGATCTAATTCACACTACTACATAAAGTTGCATATGGTTCCTACTGTATTCTAAACGGAGGCATTTAAGAGGGCGTTCCTAGGGCTTCATATGAATTGAATATTTGCATCAAACGAGTTCAGTAAATCTTTGAGGTAGAATAAAGAACCCTTCCAGATATGGAAAATGTTGTGCAAAGTTGATCAAATGGAAATGAAGCTAAGCTAAAGGTATCACATAATTTTCGGAAACAAGCAGCGACACAGGGTTAAAAAGAATTTTAGTAAAATATTCGGTGAAGATTTTTGGTAGGACATTTACTTTGACTGCACAGCTGGCATTGCGCGTAAGCAAAGTGTTCGTATTTTACCGCGAACACAACCTATAGAAGGCGTCATTGAATGTAAGTCGTGTAGAAATATATTTTATTGTAAACAGCCCATTCCGCTGAAGCATTATTAAGAAACGAAACATACAGAAGAATAGTATGTATTCCATAAAATATTTGTATATGTGCCGTGTTTTTTTGCACTAGTAGGCTTATTACGCAACGTGGAAAAAATCACCTCTAGCGGATAATAATCCGTTATAAAGACAAAGGTATGTCCTTTTATCTACGACCAAACATAATCGTTTTTTAAGGTATAGTGAAGAAATTTTCAAATGGTCAAACAATTTCATGACGGCATTCTGGAGGAGGTTGCTCAACAACTCCACCGTGAAGTAACGCCCACGACATCCTCCCGTTGTACGCGCCGAAGGTTCCGGCATGTGTATTGTCGAACATCAGCATAGGCTAAATCTGCACCAATACTGCAAGCACGCTTCCGCCTCACGTATAAGAAAAACCGAACTCCGGAATTTGAGACCACGCCTGTCTACCATAATAGATGTGACATCCATGTAAACCGCTAGGTTTTGATTATTTTGTTATATTATCCCTTGGTTAAATATAGCCAGTTATTTACTGAAAGTCTATGAAAATATCTCTCTCTGTCAATTGTCTGTTTACACCAGCGGACTAACAGCTATATGCAGATATTTCCGCTATAAGACCTTGAAAATACGGTGGTTAGCCTAACGCCTGCAAACTGGTGAAATCAACCAAAGATAAGTAAGCACCCACTGATTGGCATTTACGCATATACGAAACCATAACAAAAACGGATCATATAATAATTTGCAGATACTGGAATGGTCAACCATAAAACATTAAAAATCAAACGAAAGCCAGGGTATTAATTTGCCAAAGTTGTTGATTGCATGAGGACGAAAAAGCGATATTATCAGAACCGTAATTTAGAAATTAGTGTTCAACACAAGCCCATCGAAATCGAGTCGAATACCTGGGTGAGAGAAGGGATTCCTTTACCGCAATTTAAAGCGTTATCATGGCTCTATGATCTCCAATTTGTAGGACGTTATTACGGCGGTCTGTGCTGTGTTCCACTCAAGTTCATTCGTCGAATCTCCTAAAAAGACCTGTGCGCAAACAAAGACAGTGACGCTAGCTCAACGAGAATTCTGTAAAAGGGCGGTTAGTTAATCGTTATGGTGGCCGCTTACTTTAAACTATATGTACTTATCTTACTAACATGAGAATTTAAGTAGGCGTAGTTGGCCTCATTTATTTCAATGCAATAGTGTTTTTTAATACTTCGCAAATTCTTTGACTACTTAGTTTAGCATTGCTAACCCTCAATATGTGGCGTAATGTCGTTACGCCTTAGTGAATAAATTTCGTTTTAGCTCCTATAAGTTGGTGTACTTTGGTTTAGCATAGTTTAGTTTTTTTTGCTTAGTTTGAGTTTATTAGTAAGGACAGTTTACTTAACTTACCTTATCGTATCACAATATCTGCCCTCATGCATTAAAATATATTGGGAGTTGTAGAAATGGGCAAATATCCATGGGGAATGGTTTTTATGGTAATCGCCAAATTTAGATATGGATTCGATATACGATTGTGTCCTTTGAGTTATGTGTTATGTTTTGTGTTATGCGAGTTAACAGCGATTTGCCAATCAACCTATGCCTTCATCTACTAATGGCTTTTTTTTTACTGCTGTAATAGTTGCGGACGCTAATTGCGCTAACTTTTCGAAACTAACCTTTCTTTAGTATTCCGGCAAGATAGACAGTGTGGTATATTTATTTTGGGCTGTTGCCCTCATCAACTCTAGTGTAGCCGCTGCAGTTGCCGCCACAATCGAGTTTTGAAATGGTACCTCGCGTCAATTGCAGACGTCCGCACCATTGAGCGATCGAATTCGATGTCTTGCCGGGTTTTGATCGGACTATATAGTATTGGTTAGTACACCGATCTATCTCTCAGAATGTGCCCATGTTGGAATGATGCTTTTGTAATTCGGGCCAACCGACTGTGTTTCGCAGTTACCAATAATTGATATGTTACTAGCTAGGCGTCAATTACACATTATTAGTGTGTTTTTATGGGAACCTGCTAAGATAAAGATCAGTTTACAAACAAATACTGAAAACTTCCTTGTCGATAGCACGACATTTCGTCAGATATAACATCAATTTTATATTTTAAATACAAATTAAAATGTAGACTTACCACCGTCAGGTGTCGATGTTGCGGGTGGCTGCGTCACAGGCTTCGTTGATGCGAATGTCTGCGTTGCAGGCTTCGGTGTTGTGGGTGCAGAATTTTTTTTTACCAATGAATGTCACCGACGGCTTCCGGCTTGAACCAGATATGTCTATCATAAGATGGTAGGCTTCTCCTCCCTTAAACCTGATCACCATTTTCCGTGGTTCGGTTCCCAAGCGTCCAGTAAAAAGCACATCGTCATCCTTGTGCACTCCTAAAAGGCGCATCGACCAATGTTTATGCGGTGAGTAAATATCACATGCAGTTTCGGATCATTTTCATTATGATACATTTAATCAAATTTCTATTTTGAAGGTCAGGATAAACAATAAACCGTTCATGCCCAGCAAATTAATCTTATGAGGGTATATGCCCAACCCGCTGAGAGGATATTTCCAAGTTCTTTCCTGAAATTAAAAGCGGGAACTCAAATGTTTTATTATATTTGCCTGTTCACAGTAAGTGTTTCTGTGTGTATTTAACAGCGTGTCTTTCGTAACATAAACTAATGTTTTTGCTTGTTCAAAAATTGAAAATCAAATTAATAATCACGATTGCTCTCAGAGGAAACATGGCTCCGTAATAATGCTTCAAACATCCGCTTTTCCTATCAGTTATCAGTGGGTCGCCCAGCGTCAATTTATACG